AAAAAAAACAAACTTTCAACTAGATGTTTATAATATCTTATTTACACTGGGCAAGTAACGAATTTGGTATTTTTAATTTTCCAATAGTTATTTGTCAATCTACTAATTCAAACTGTTCTTCGCGCTTCGATAACCATTTTTTTTTTTACTCTAGGGTAAAGATGTAACTAGTTTAAAAATATTTCCGGTTTTACGAGCAGTCTAATCAAGCCGTGCGAAGATGTGACATTAAATTCACAGTGAGGTTCTTTTAACTTCTTGGAACTCCATGTTTGCTGATTTAATTCACGTTTTGAATTAATTTGAAATCAGTTGCAGTGGTCATCTGTAACATGCAGATGCTTTCACAACTTACTGTGATGAGAACTAGTATACACCTGAATATCTGCCCGGTTTAAGTTATGGATGTTCAACTTAACTATCCTAAGTTTTCTTTCTCCTTGCGAGGTCGCTGTTCAGAAAGTTGCCGTCTTTTGTTGAATAGTTTTTACATCTGAATTTGTCAACTGAAAGATAATAGTTTAGCGAAAATGAGCGAAATACGGTATTTATGTCAAAATTTTTTCACGATTTTTAGTGCGTTCGTTGTTTGTTGGGCAGCTATCTCTTTGAAAACGGTATGGTTGAGTAAGATGAAAGCTATTTTTGACAAATCTTGACTGTTAATTGCATGGTTCGATGGTTTTTTTCATTTAGTCTTAGAAAGGTATGCTAGCAAATAAGCTTGGTAGGGCACCGTTATAAATACTCTGTTCTAGAAACGTAATTTTGATTTGTTTTTAGCATTCCTTCTAGTTTTTTAGTGCTTCACATCTATATCACGGAACTTCTTGTCTGTCATATGAGAGTTTGAATACATTTATTCCGTGAAATCTTTTTGTTCCTTCTGCTTTTGCGTAGAAGTAGTTTTTTATGATTCTCGTTGGATATTTTAACAAAGTTTATTCTTATAACTAACCCATCATTGTGCCTTTAATTTTTCTGTTTCGCATTAGCTTTGAAGTTTCCATTTTTTTCAAACTTTTTTTTCAGACCACATAGTTTCATTGCATTTCGACATTTAAGAAAGTCTCAGAAATTAAAGAGAAGTAATGTTCAGGAGGATGCTACTAACCAATGTGGAGGGAAGCACTCTGATGAACAAGGCGTTTCGCCAGAATTTCATGTGGCTAATTCAAAGTTCTACTGTAGGAATTTGAGGTGGGCGGGATTAATCTCAGGTTTAGAAATTGTGATACGAAGTGTTTTGCAATCACTGCGTCCGCCGCTTTGCGCTAACTCTCAACGGCTTTTAATTAAGTATATTTAGTTTCTGCAACCTGATTTATGTAAAAATTTCTTTGACAATCGCACTCACCGTTAGGTCACTTCTATTTTCTATTGCTATTGGGATCTCAACACGGTCACTGTTTCTGTGTCACGAAATCAGCTTCGCCTTACAAAGTTGCATCTGGCTATGCAGTTTCACCTGTGTTCGCCAACTTTTATGAGACGCCTACTTTTCTTTGCTTTTAGTTTCTGTGTATTTGTACATTCCTCTAGTGCTCCGCTCAAAATCCAATTTCTTACCAGCTTTCTCCGCTTTACGTCCATCTGCTAGACTTTGTCGTTGTACTAAGTAATACATATCTTCACTTTCTATGAAAGTAGAGCTGTTTTTGCATTTTATAACTGCTTTACACAAGACTTTGTGAAGCTAAGCTTCTTCCAAATGTTTATTCTTTAAAGAGCATTTGTACAGAGACAGATTACTTGTTTTTGCAGGAACGGGACAGGAAAGTGGAGAGGGAACGCCATTCAGACTTTTTCGGATCCTCAAGTAGAAGAGTCGGGACGCAAGGCGAATCCGCTTTTATTACGTATCCCAGTCGTAACGTCAAGTGAGTTTACCCAGTGATTTACATATTTCAATCAGTTTAAAATAGGCATCTTGAGTAAGAGGAATATTCATTTCCAAACTTCCTAGTTTTTAAGACGCCTCAGATTTTCCATTCTTCAGTGATCATTTAACACTCTTTCGAGTTCAGCTCCTACGAGTTCGGCAGCTTTGATGAACAGCGACGAGAACCAAAACATACCCGTTACTGCGGTCAACAGTACAGGCAGCTACGGTACCAAGGGGAATTCAGCGCAGATTACTGTGAGGCCTTTAATGCGTGGTTCGTCCGCGGTGAAACCCCAAGCAGTGGAACACCGCAGCTCCCGCCCAGTAGAGGGTACTTGGACATACACTCGAGGTATGGCATACCCTTTGGCTACTACCCAAACGTCTTCCCAGAAGGATCCAGTCCTTCAGCAAGGAGGACCTACCATGAAAGGTACGAATAAAAACTTTTCAAGTTGATTACGTTGAGCTTCCCCTTGAATTCTAGCTTACATCTTCAGCTCTAGCCTCGAGGACATTAGTCATGTTTTTAGGTTCCATTCATGCCCAGGTCAGCAGCCCGTCATATTCAGGCCAAAAGACCCGAGCGGTGAGTTCAAAGGAACCATTTCGCCGTCTCCCCGTCGCATTTCCGACTTCTAGAACAGTCTTTTGGGCAAATACGCCTCCAGTTGCAGACACCATGCAGGCACGGCTTAGAACCGGCACAAAATTAAAAGGAGCTCCGCCTACTCCTATGCACCTATCTAGTAAGGCACGCGAGTTTAAAGCGTCGTCTGTCTGTATAAAGCGCACCCCATTTCCTCCCCCCGTATCACTCGACTGCCCTTCGAAACTCTATGACCGGCCTCGATCCCCACTGAAGTATGTCAAATCACACTCTGTTCCCCAATATTCGAGAGGAGCAGTCGTTACCACTCCGTCAACCCATAAGGCGGACGACCTCCAATTTCGAAAATACGAGGGTGGACGTGAGACAGATCACCCAGCATCAGAAGCTGCTAATCCACCTCCAAAAAATTTCTCCCCTTCTCGAATATCTCCAGCCGTTAAGGCCCCCGACTTAGTACACGGAGGAAGTGGATGGTAACAGTCGTGATTTGGAAGGATAGAAATCTCCTAGGCCCAAGCCCTAGAGTTGTCCAGTAGCACCGCCGCCTAAAAGCAGGCTGAATTTAGGTTTGCCGCCTGATAAAGCTGCCTGGCGGCGATTCCCATCCCGATGTTCATGTAACCCAGGAAGCTGGAACATGTGCCTTTGAAGAATGTGAATTTCCTTCCCGTTTTTTATTCATACTAATTCGCCTGATAGCCGTGTTGGAAAATTGTGATTTTAGCTGTTTACACATTACCTTGTTTGAAAACCAACCTCTTCGTTCACTTGCCTTGTTCACTTCTCTTTCTCCTGTGCTCTTGTTCACTTACATTATGTCATGATATCGTGTTTCGGGTTGTATGTCCAATGACTTATGATACATATGTTGGGAAAACCTAGTTTCTGTTGTCAGTAAAGACGCAATTTGTCGACGTGAGCAACCCACACCACGATCGGTGACTAAACACCGATTACTGAAAAAAACTACTCCTGCTTTCTTGAAGGTCACTGAAGCCTTTACTTTTCAAGAATGATCAACAGGGGTAAACAGAAAAAAGGATGCCTCTGGTGCCTACATGGAGCTTCTCAGTTCTCCGCTCTCTTCTCAAGCTCACCGGACATTAATGTTCGATAAGCTGGGGCCCTTGGCGTTTGAGCCCAAAAATGCCTTGTCAGCCTGAGAGAAAGCATGCTGGATAAGCTGCAGATTCTCGATGCGGGTCACGCAGCGGGCGGTATTCTGTAAGTCATATGGCTCCTCAATAAATATTTTGTAACGACGATCGCTTGAGGGTAATTCGGATCTGAAAAAAATTCCGACAATACTTGCTTATGAAGAGAAGGATGCGGTCGCACAGGGAAGTACATAGGCGTAAAGAGCTGGACAAGGAAATTTTTACCTGGGAAACAAGCAACCTCTGCATACTGATATTCCACAGCGAGTAAAGTTGAACTGGCTATAATAGTTAAAGAATCCTACCAAGAGCTCTCCAACCGTCTCCGTGTTGACCTCTCTTCCTAAAAAATGTGTCGTCGCTTTAAGCCATAAATCAAAGAAGAGTCCTCCTGAAGTCTGGAGGGAGCCTACTACAGCCTGGGTTGATAAGTCCGGTAGATTCCGAAACCGCAATAGAACATACCAGACCGGGACCTACCAACGAAGAGTCATCTAATTTGACCCAGGAAATGACGTCGGATTAACTTACTTGGTAACGGTCGTAGTTCTTTAAAAAGTTCTAAACTGTCCAAATTCACGTTCTCATTAAACTGGTCTGGAAAAAGCGCTTGGAGATTCGGAAGAACTGGAGGTAGTGCCACGCATTGCAAGAAATGCAACACAAGCAATATTAATGAATAACTATAATTAACATCCAGTAACTCAGAAAGAAACGGAACAAGTAATGAGTCCTCAAGGCCACCTCTAAACGCTATTTAATAATCATAATGACACCTGTTGAAAGTCCCATTCATCGCGTCATTAATGCGAGCATTAATTGCCCAGTGTTTGACCAGTAAGCAAAGAGCTGGGAAGCGATCATCAATTCTAAACATTTTGAAAATTTTTACCAAACAGACACATCAAAAATTAGCTGCTGGAACAATAAAATGAAAATAGTGTCGAGAAAAACAGAAAGACCTGGAATAATAATGAAGCAAATGAGAATTATAGATCCCGGGGACATTATTACAATTAATATCAACTTCCAGCTCGTCGAAAGGGGCTTCCATTTCAAGCTTTATTATTGGAACCTGAAAGCCGAGCAGTTTTCATACTCTATCCAGATATCATGTAATTTTCAGCAGAAAAATTGTTCGCAACCAAATGGTAGAAACAATCAAAAATACGCCCCACTCTCTTAAGTTCCACATAACAACCATGCATTCCTAAGGTTGTAGACTCAACCTTCTCCGCGCCTTTTTTTTGGTCCTCTAAATATATTGAAGAGTATGCTTCATTTTCTAAAAATTTTTAGAAAAAGAACGAAAGTCTTGTTCCGTGGGACTCTAATTTGATATGACTTCAAGATACAACGACCTGTGAAGTAAAAAGCAACAATTAAAAATAAAATGAACTTTTGATGCGCTCCTCCTTAAAATATTCCAGATTTTTGAGTAAATTCTGCTAAACTTACAGCTGTTAATCAGTTGAACAAGCAATTATCCTCAAGGAGTTTCTGACACTTTTTTTGGGGCAAAAAAAATAATGCATTTTTTTCACTTTACTAAACTCCCCTACTAACACTTAGTACTTTTAATATCTGACCAAGACGTGCCGAAAAGCACTTTCCCTTAAATTGAAAAATTTGAGGTTGTCGTCTTCTATCTGAACTGAATGAGAGTGTACCTTGGCAATCCTGTGAAGTGATACAAAACTCACCTTCGCTGGTATAAATGTTGCCATCCTGACAAGTCCATTAGACCTGAAGGCAAGCTCCCTATGGACTTTTTTCAATATTCGGATGCCATACCTAAAGATACATATGCCAAGTAAAGATTAGGAATTTGCTAAGTATAAAGCATTCACAAAACAATACTCTCGGTCAGTATGATACCCACGATGTGGGTCCGGCAAGCACATACAAAGGTCCATGTCTGAATTGTAAGCTCCGCATCCGTTTATTGTTGAGCCTACGGCAATTAATCTTGCACTCGGATATAACTAAAGACCGATAGTATAACTAATTTTATTTACAGCATGACATCACTCTCTGACGTTATTTCCAACAACGAAAGAGAAATTACCCTTCGAACAACATTTAAAAGCTTCTCCCTCACTCGCATTTTCCAAGTGAAAGTGAGATCGTCCTAAACTGCAAAATCAATAATCAAGCGAGAAAAAACAGATCAATAACGTTGAAATTGAAGTTGAGACCTGTGCATTCCTCTCGAAATGATTCCAAATCAGGGCATCAAAATTATCAAACTGTTCAGGATACTTGGCTCGCCTTTGTTTTATAGCGTTAAATATAAGTGATGAAGACGGCACATGTGTAACTCCTGAAATTTAAAAAGCAAAATCCTAATAAAGATAAAGATAACTCGGCTGAATAAAAGCAACTAGACTGAAAAATACCAAGTGTTTCACACAGTTTCATGTATTTCAATTCAGCCATTTCAGGACGCAGTATCAAAGGAGGTTTGACGCACTCAATAGCATTGACACTTTTACTATCACTCATCTGAAAGTGTAATTACCAAAAAGCCTTGAAAGAACTAGGAAGACAAGTGGACCAATCAAACAAAAGATTTAGGAAAAAATCTACATTTAACTATGAAATCTTCTTTAACAGTAAACACTTCTGGTATTTAAAACAAACCTTTACTGCACTAGCGTTTTCTGCGGCACTTCTAGAAGTAGATGGTTTTTCTGAGTCCACAACTAAAAAAAATTTTTTAAAATAAAACTGTCAGTGATTTTAAAATATTACATTACAATATGCAGAAACATTTACTCAAACCTTAGAGCGTGAGACAAAACAGACTCATTCTCCACTAGTTCCCCATCTTTAGAGACATTTTGATCATTTTGATCCTAAAGAAGCAGCTTGACGCGAGTAATACCTAAGTTAGCTCAAAAAACCGTGTCCTCAATAATCATTGCTTAATCTAAACTTCACCGTCCCATTAACTGCTCGGCTGTTCACACAACACGTGATTAAAAAATTGTAGATGTATTCCGTTAAATTTTCTCATACAACCCAAAAGTTCATGTTCGTTTGCTACGTCTTAATTCCAATTTTACGACTTACTAGCAACTGTGCAGCCAGCAGCGCTGAAAACGAATGTTCCCAAGAAGAATTAATAGGCACATTCATCAAACAATATGTAAAATGACTAATATTCTGACAATGTTCTCACGAAATAACGGTGGTGATGGTAATAAATAAATTAGCAATTTCAGTTAAGCAGTCGAAGGAATTATATAACAAGAATTACATGACAACACCTTTACTTTACCCGAGGGTTGTTCTCACTGTCCTGACAAGCAAATGTTTCAGAAAATAAAACTAGCAAAGCAATGCAAAATCTCAAAAAAAAAATACGCCTTATCTTAATTCTTCTCCTTTAAGAGAAAACGGAGTTGAAAATGACTGTCTCTGACAAAGACAATCTTCTCCCCCACAGTATCTCGATAAGCAAAAAAACAGCTTTTAACGATGGTATTAAAATTAAAACCAACTTGTGTTTCCACTGCGTCCCTTCTTCTCAATTTCAATAGAATCATTCCCGTTCCAAAATTTTTCTCCCTGCAACCTTTCATACGGCACTTAAAGTTAGAAACTCAAATACACAAAGTCACAGAAACTAACTATCTTAACTGTCCGATATTTCTTGAACTTACAATCACCGTTACTTCATATTCACCCGTATCAGAAATAATCTCAACGTCAGAGTCGCCGCAAACACCATTAGTGTCATCAACAGAATACCCGTTCTCTAACTTCTTACCCATATCCACTTCAATCTGGTTGCACTTCCGGTCAAACCGAGATATCTGTTTACGGGACACTAAGCACCTTCTCTTAGCATAAACGGAATCTTCCCCATCAAAAGTCGGTAAAGCCTTAAAAAATACGTTCATCAAGACGAGG